CGCCCCCCCCCCCCCCGGCTCCCGGGCTGGGGGATGAATAAAGAAGGATCCTTTTGTCTTTTTTTTTTTTTTGTAGGATGCACTGAATGTGTCTCAACTCCGCCTCCTGGGCTGCAAACAGAGACGAATTCACAGGCTGCAAATCCTGTTCATTGACCAGCTTTATTTATTTTTTAAAAATAACTCTCCCTCATTGGGCTTTTAAGCTCCTCGGGTGCCAGTGATGAGCCTATTTTTTTTCTTTCTTTCTTTCTATAGCCATCCCCTCAGGTAGCTGGGAAGCCCTTAAAGTTGGGAAAGAAAGGGACCTCTTTTAAACATTGTATTTCTCTCCCTTTTCAATAGCCAGCTGCAACTATGTAATTAAATTGTCAAAGTGAAACGTTGCGGTCTGAGCCGCGCATCAGTCTCGCACTTGAGCGTGGAGACCGCTTTTCTCTCCTTCTCCCTCTCGCCTCCTCCTCTGCTGTACCGCTTCACTCCGCGGTTCATGGCAGCGCAGAGGTGTCGCTGGAAGGTGCCTTGTCCGAGGGCTGTTTTTGATGGAAGTGTATTTACCATGAGGAGGGCCGTCCTGCCCGATGGGAACGGGTGCCAATCCAGCTGTGCTCTGGCGGCCGCTCCAGATGTTGGGATGGCTGCGATCACACAAAAACGTTATTCTGGGACTTTTTATCATTAGGTCGCTGCTCTAGGCTTGACCAGTCTGGTTTTTTGCGCCTGTTTTCCTCGTCAGTTCCATGTCTGTTTGTTTTACCTCTCTAATTCCCCAAAGTTGGTAACGATGTATTGCGAGACTTCAGCTGAACTTGTTGTTGTTAAATACGCAGATAAAGTGACTAAAACAGCATAGTCTGGCTACGAGATAAAGCTGCTGAGATTTAATTTGAATATGTCATTTATTAAAAGGCTGATTGTAAGTGGAAGACTGCCTGGAAAATGTCACACGTTCTCATAGTATGTACACTATATAGCCGAGTGTATAAATATGCATGATGCCTAGTGAAAATATCTTTGCTTTCTGGAACATTGATCTTCCCACATAAAATTAAACTGGAATACACAGTCCCCTCTTCTCTCCCCTCTTTTGCACACCACTAATTTCAGTTAGGTGCCCTTTCCTGCCTAAGGCAGGCGTTCTTGCTCCTGCTGCCTGAGTAATGAACGTGTACACGGTTCTGTGTGTACATCAGCTGGAAATGTGGACAAGAGTAGTATTGGGGAAATGAACAAAATAAAGTGTCGATGCATCTCTTTGGAAACAAACTGTAGTAGTTTCAAGTCCAGAGGAGTGGTATTATTCTTTGTGAGATATGTGACACATCCTATTTTCAGAGAGGGCTCTGTGCAGGCACCGGAGAATCATTGCTCGTTGTAATCCCATATAGTTTTGAGGACTGCAGAGGTCTGTAGTACAGGACATTGGCCCCTCAGAGCATCGCCTAATGTGATCTATATGGATTGCAGCTTTTAAGTTTCATAGGTTCTAGAATTACAAATTAGCTAATTTTAATCAAAACATGTGAAATGTTATCCTGGCTGGATATAAAGGCTGACTGTGCTGGATCCTCTGGGTTTGTTTTGTTTACTTTGGCTGCAGGCACACTCAGCGGTTTGGGAGATAGTTGTTCTTCTACAGTATAGCAGATGTTTGTCTGAAAGGGTGAGGAAGAAACAAAAACAACATTGTGTGAAGGAGAAAAATTACATAATTTTAAACTAATGCTTTGGTATTAAGCACTGGCATTAACCTTCATGTAGAGAGTTTCTCTTTTTTTAATCATGCGTGGCTCCTTAAGATTGGGAACCTCAAGATTTCAGATGACTTCAAAACTAAAGGCGGGTAGAAATGGCGTTTTGAACACATGTAATTTCTGGTTGAGAGCAAGACAGCTGATGGTAGAACCTTTCATAGCCTACCTTTCAATGTAAACTATGCTATATATGCTATGCACTTTTAGTAGGATAGTTGGCTGCTATCACCTAAGAAGGGGAAAGGGTGGGGGAGAAAAAAAAAGGTGGTTTGACTTTTTTACTGGTTGAGAAAGTTTAAATCCTGTGGTGGTCATTTACCCTTTTTCTTTACCGATGAATTAAGATGTCTAGTTGTTCTTCATAAACCCAAGGAATACAATAATGTAACAAATTGCTTACAGTGTGCAAAATGTTTGCACTGAAATGACAGAGGGAGCACAATGTGCCCTTGTGTAGGTTCGTATCTGTAATGTTCAAACAGGCGACTGTTTCCCTTCATCTGAACTGCTTTCATCTGGACCAGTGTAAAATAAGCTCTGGTAAGTAATCACGGCAGAGCAGAAAGAAAGGAATGTATACAGCAGTAGACAGCCTAAGCTGTAAAAACTGTAACCCGAGTATCAGCAGCAGATCAGATATCAAGGCTTTAAGGTAGGGGAAATGAAAGAGATGAAGGGGAGGAAAAGACGAGAGAGGGAATGGAAAAGTCAGCTTGGAAAGTGAAGGAGAAGTAGGAGGGCCCCCTCAGGGAAATTTGGCTCAGGGATTAGGGAATTTTATCATGGTGTACAGTGACCTACTCAGGTTTCAGCCCACATTGGATTGAATTGCCTCCCTTAGCTAGCAGAAAGAAAAAAGACTGGTGTATATGTGATTTCCCCCCCCCCTCGGATAATAAAAAGGCCGTTGGTACAAATGTCTATTTTAAGTACAGCAAATGCAAGGCACTATGAATGAGCAATAAAATTACCTCATCACAGAGACTTCCTTCGAGATTTGCTGTTTGATACAGTCAGATATTTGCTCTAGAAGGATCACAACACCCAACTGCTTGGTTTGGTGTTTTCCAACAGTAGTGTCGTAGCTCAGTTTTAACATGACTGTATAGATATTCAGGTTGCTCGCTCTTTCCTTATGCCAGATATTGAGTTACATTTTTGTTATCTCTAACCTAACGTACATGACGGTTATAACAAATTTTAATTTGATACAATGTTGTGTGCAAAAAGTACATGACTCTGCACAGTTTTCTGATATTACGTTTCAATGAAAAATATATTCAGGAGGAAGTGTTTTGTTTCCTTTCGCTGTGACCTTTACAGCCACTCTTTCTTTTTTTCTAGTTATTTTTTCTTTTGTCCCCCTTTCCAATTTTTTTCTTCCAGAGGTAGCATTCACTTTGTGCTTTGGAGGAAGAACAGATAATTATTCCGAAATTCAGTTCAGTACCATTTCTCACTTGCTGGTGGATAACAGCACACCTAGTAGATCCAAAGCTGTCATCGTCAGGGAACCCAGTACTATTTTAAGACAAAAATATTTTTTACAGTTTAACTGATGAAAGCACTTGTCGAGGCACAATGATGGCTCCCCCATGCATCCCTCCTCAGCTTATTTCCATTTGCCATCCTGCTGCCAGGAAGCTTAGGAGGAACAGCTAGGTGCTCTGAAATGTTGTGAAGTGAGGTTACATCCAGTACTGGATTGCACTGGAAGTTCTCCCGCACAGATGAGACAATGTATCCATGTGTCTCTAACAGTTGAAAGGCAAGCAATTAATTTGCACTGTAATTTCACAGGGCTGCTTCATGTGCCCAAGGAGTTTACCATCCATGAATATTCTCAATAACTAATTTGTATCTAAAATTGGGCTTCGTTCCTGATGCCTAAAGCTTAGGACAGCCCCATCTGTTATCATTTAATAGTAAACTCATCAGAATATCTTTCAGTTTAGTGTTTTAATATTCCCCGTTTGGCATTTGAAAGTACTACTGTCAGAAGGAGGAAAGTGGTGAAGCAGGCGTAGCAGCCTTGCGCCTGGAGCGAGCCAGTTCGCTCAGAACGCTCAGTAGGTTCCAAGGAAACTCCTCCCTTCTCTCCAGAAAAGCAAAAAATATCTTTGGGAAAGTGAAAAAGCAGGCAGGCTTTATCATTTGCATTATTTCAGGTGGAGGGTTTTTCTGTGGAGTCTCTGTGGAAGGGGTTTTTAGGGATGGCTGCAAAGGGAGTTGCATTGTCTACACAGGGAGCCTCACCTGCCAGTGTGTTGCAGAAATGGCACTTCCCTGAACAAAGTGGGTGAAACAGAACCAAACATGCACATGGGAGAACAAAGAAAAGTAAAGCATCAAGGAATTTTGCTTTCTGATAGCATAAAGGCCTAACCACCGAGTTCAGCATGGTGACAACATAAATAAGCAAAGAATGTGAGGGCTGGAAAAAAAAAAAGTTTGTTTTGTGACTATAGAACCATTTTTATTTCCTCGATGCAGTGAAAGTGAAAAGTGAATTTGTGGGGCTCTGCACTGAGTGGGTTATGCAGGCAAGGAAATGGAATGGAGCCACTGTGCTTCCTCCCAGATCTGAAATAAACATTCAGCAGTAAAACCTAGAAGAAAATGAGTCTGACAGACTCATTCTCCCCTGTGTTTCCTGCCTCCGTGTTTGCCAGGCCTCGTTCGGTGAAGCCAGGCCTTGCCCCCTGTGAATAAGGTTCATAGAGAAGGAAAGACAAGAGATCTAAGATGGAAAGAGAAGCATGGCTTAGTTTCAGAATGTATTAATTAGCAAAGATTTGGGAAAATGATGCATCGTAATGTAAAAAATCAAACTGTAGGTGTACTGTTACGATGAAATGAATCCTAAAGTGGGAAGAAATGTGATTATATTTTTACTGCCTAGCATATAAGTCAGTCTCACATAGGAAAGAAACCACAGTCTGGCAAGTCAACACACTCTTCTTCATCTTTCATGTGAATAGGAAGCAAATTCAAGTAGAAATACCAACAAGCGTAATAGTTATCCTGGCTCTTCCAGGAGGGACCATATTTCTGTGTAGTACAAGAATAGAGAAATCATACAGTTAAAACATGCAAATCACACATTGCCCTGCAGGGGTGATAAGTGGTTTGGGATTTAGCAGGGGGCAAAACCCAAATTGCTATCCATTGGGAAGGAAGGACTTTGGCAATGGTGTGTGACTGGGGCCACCAGAGCATTTTTGGACCAGTTTCTTTGGCAGGGATGAGCTGGTTGGGATGGCTGCAGCCATAGTGAATGCTCTGGCGGTTTGGCAGCTGTGATGGTGTGCTGTCAGCTAGAGGAGAGCAGGAGGTTTGGCTCTGGCAGAGTGATAACCAACTGCCTAGGTGCGCTGGCAGCTGAAGAGGTGGTTGGTTCTTCCGCTGGTCTTAGAAGCTTATCTGCTTGGTGCATGCAGAAAAGAACTGAGCTTGGCATGGCAGAGTGAGCACAGAAGGATGTGAGACAGGATTTCTATGGTTGTCTTCTCAGCTCTGTCACTGACCCACACTGTGGGTGGCACCAGAGTTTGGTCTCTTGGTTTCCCCACAGGGGACTGAGCACTGCCTCCCTGTCAGGGTGAAGTTAGGTTCCAGTGCTGTACATTTGGAATGAACTCTGTAAGCCCTTCAGGGCCACTGCTGCTGGGAGGCTCCCTTTGGGCTCACTGAAATTTGCTCTGGACTTAAGGGTCCCAGCTTAGCAGTGTGATTGCTGACTTGGGATTTTATTGATGATGAGCAAGGTTTTCCCTGGTGTGCTGGTCTTCCACATCATCCCAGCCCTCTGCAATGACTGCAGTGTTGAGGTGGCAGCCTCCATCCTACAGGCACTCCGCATCATTTTGGGGAATGAATCTGAAAGTAAGCATGGACTAGCTCAGTGCCTCTGCTGTCCTGTTCCTGCAGAAGCCTTTGAATTGCAGCTCCTTGGACATTGTCCATCTGGTCACCCACACTCACCTTCACATCTCCTCCCTGGTCTTTGGCAGGTCCATTATTTCTCAGTTCCACTGGCTCCTGCATAGTTTGCTTCATCACTGCTGCTTCTACTTTTCTGCTCCAACCTCGAGTCCCACATTACTGCTCTTCTCAAGCCTTGCTGTTACAATCATCACCCTTCCTTTCACTAAGCTTTTGAAGCTTGTACATCTTTCAGTGAGATTTTGCTCTGTGTGTACAGATTGTGTATTAATTTGCTTTCTTCCTTTCCGTAGCTTCATCAAGAACTTTTTCGTCTCTTTTTTTTTTTTTCTTTTACTGTTCCCCCCCTGTATTCACACAGTGAAAAATTATCTCGTCTTGTCTCATCATTTGTGTTTTGATTATGGCCACCACACTGGTCTTTACAAATCCCATCTTGTTACCCTATCTTGAATCCATGTAGATTGTGTCTATCATTGAAATCAAAGAAGTGAAAATACATGGAAACCCTGAATTAATAGTGCTCAGCTTCACGACAGTGGCTTCAGCAAGGACATGACCTGTGTGACCACATGCTCAGTTGTCAGGATGTTAGACATCACTGTAAATGGGTATTGTAGTCAGGAGTCTGAGGGAAGGTGATGTTGTTCTTTGGATGCTCATCTATGCAAGAGAGTTAAAAATACATTTCTCAGGTTTGACTGTCAGCTTGCTGTGGATGGGGTCATCCTTTTGGTTTGCTGTGTATGAAGTGTGGTGTAATGAAACTCTGGCAGTTAGTCACTGAGAGAATTATATTAAGGATGATCTGCATCACTGTAATAGGTAGGATAAATTATGAGGGAGAATGGCTTCATTTCTTTTTTTTTTTAACCACACCACTGTTGTTGAGAAAGCATGGTGTTAAAATGGTGTTTACTTTTGTTATTGCTAATATGCAGCTCATTGTACTCTCACTGAAGTTGGTAGGAAAGACCACAGTGATTTACTTTTTTATGAGAGAATCAAGTCTCTATGATGGGTAATTTCAAAGTCCATTGTATTTCTTGTCATAGTGAATGTTCGTTTTCTTGTATCGCTTATTACTTGAACTTTGTGCTGTTACAAACCCAACTATCATTTTGGCTACTTTCGGAAGAGACATACACATGTATGAATTTTCAAGAAAAAATAACCATATATACAATCTTGCTTACATATTCCTTGACAAGTAATTGGAAATTACTCATTGCCTGAGTTGATCAACAGTGCAGATAAAACACAAAGCACCCCCAGGAGGCAAATTTAGAGCTACTCAATTAATTTGGTTGCATGGGATTTAAGTACATAAGACTTTGTCAATTGGTCTCTACCTTGCTAGATTAGTCTCTAGGGCTGTGTCTCCATAGTTGAAATTCAGCAAAGCAAGGGCAGCTGGCAGATCTTTCCCTCAAGCATCCATAGACCCTTTCAGGATGTTCTGGGTGAGCTGCAGTGGTGAGATTTCACTCCGCAATTCCAGGTCATTTTGTTATTGGGTTCCCATGGGTTAGAAACAGTGTTAGTGCATTGGTACTCTTCAGCACTAGGAGAGTTTTCTAAAAAGCTAAGAAAAACCAAAAAAAACTTCTAGAAAAATTTCCCATTTTTGCTAGTTCTTAAAGCACAGCATTGCATCATTCAAATGAGAGCTTAAATATATATTTTAGAAATAGGTAGGTGTACAATACACTGCATTGTACTCATTAAAAACTGTAGTAGTGACATAGTTCAGATGTAGTGGGCTGTTGTACTTATAATGCTGAGTCTGAAATTAGAGTTGGAATAGTGCAATGTTTTCCAGCAATTCAGGGCTGCACAGGAGAGCCACAGAACTGTGACTTCCATCAGATGGTCAAGTGAAAATGAAAAGGGGAAAAACCAAAAGGAAATTGATGCTTCAGGGATCTGCTGTGGCGTTTTGTTTTGGGTTTTCTTTTCCTAAAATGTGTTTGTAGCACAATTACACAGATGATACTCTTGGAAGAGTACAAATTGCTTGTGTTTATTGCTTATAGGTGCCTTACAGCGCTCGTTGAGTGATAGGAACACCTATGTAATCTGGTGTGATGAATGAGTCAGGAGCAGTGCAGTGCTCTGAGGTTCTGGAGCACAGTGCCTGCTGTAGATTTGAATTCGAAAGCAATTATCATTTCATTAATTTTATTTATTTGTTTAAATGACTGGAGAATTACTGTGTTCTATCATTAGAGTTGCTCCCACTCAAAAATTAAGCTAAAGCAGTTACTAGACAAAATCTAGCAACCTGTGAATTTGACATGTACCATTTATTTTGAATTGGCATCATATTCTCCTTATTCCTTTGCTGGTAGCCAGAGTCCTGGGAGGCAGTGCTTATCAGAAGCATTATTTTAGATGTCAAGATCTTGCAGGAATATAAAGTTTGGAATTTGTTTTAAAAGAATGCTGACAAAAAAAGAAAAAGCAGAGACCAAATATAAAGGCTTTGCATGTGGCTTTTTCATTTCAATTTATAGTTGTCATACTACTTTAAGCTGATCTTTGCCATCACAATAATTCATTAGCTGGTTTCCTTTGGTAATTTTCTAAATCCATAAGCTGTAGAGCTCCATGGCACTATTTGGTCTCAGAAAGCTTTGTTGCCTGGCTGCAGATTTCTTAACTTACTCTGCTAAATCTCCTGGCCCAGTAATGAGTGTTTTCTACAGAAATATTTTTGCCATATGACCTAGAGGACATATTTTTAATAGAAATTGAGGGTTATAACAGTCATGCTCCATACTTTGCATTTCTGTACAGACATAAAATGTAACTGCACAGCCACTTGGAAATCAGTTTAAAAATAAATATGGCAAAATTGAGAAAGGTTTTCTTAAACAAATATAAGAGATGTTTGTATGAAACATTATGGTAAAATGCTTTCACAGTGAAGAGTTTTTAAGTGGTTTGACTATGTGAGGGCTTATAACTGAGGAAAAACTTCTTTGCTGCGATTTTATTTGATTTGGTTCATGGGCACCTTAAGGAACTGTAATTGTGTCAGTGACCTGCTCCAGCTGAAAAGACTGTAACCCAGTAAGATTGATTAACTATTGGTTGAAAAAAAATTCAGGTTTTCTGTTATTCTCTTGCTGCATTCTTAAATATTTTATGGGAACAGAGACAAGTTGTGTGATGAATGTATGTTAAAATATTTCTGACATTGAATGTCAGAGCAAAAGTCATAAATAACTTCCCTTTTAATTTTCTTTAAATTACAGACGTATGAGTCTCTGTCATAATTACATGTGCCAGTTGGAGATTTAAATGCATTTCACTTTATGCACTTGACTTATGAAATGAACATTAGTCTTTGAGGAGGTGGGCCAAACCTGACATTCCTCATGTAGCACAGATACAGTTCAATTTATGCAGTCCTCCCTTCCTTCCAAATGGTTATTGATTACATAAATAAGTAGGTAATTTTTCTCTTTCAGAACTTTGCAGAAAACACTATGAATGAGCTCCTTGGCTGGTATGGTTATGATAAGGTTGAATTAAAAGATGGAGAAGATATTGAATTCAGGAACTACTCAGCAGACGGGGAAAGCCGCCAGCACATTTCTGTTCTCAAAGGTAATGAGACTTCATGTTTCTGTGTTCATGCAAAGAAGGATTAATAGCTCAACTGTCTGAATTGGTGTGGATTGGGAAGCATGTTCTGCTACTTGTGTCTTGGTTGCTTTGCATAAAAATATCTTGAGAGTATCTTGTGGTATAGGGAAGCCAATAAGGTATGAGGAAAATCACTTAACAGAATTGCTGTTGGTAGGCACTTACTGATATATCTTCACAAATAATGCCTTTTGTGAGTCAGTTGAAAGTCATTTACCTGTGGTACCAATAAACTGCTCATGAAAAGAGGGAGCCCTTTCTTATCAGAGTGGCTTTAAGGAACCCTTTAGCTTTCCATACTAAGGCTGCTTTTAAACCTCTTTAAGTGTTGAAAGATTTTAAACTGGAATATTCCAAACACATGTAGGAATGAGTGTGAACATTCACAAAAGGCTTCTAATCCACCTTTGTAACATACTGTCTTCTGCAAGTGTAGTAGAAATTTTCCGGGGATGGAGTTTGTTTGGGACAGTGCTGAATCTTTGTGATTCAAAATGTAAAGGATGAGATCCTGTCTGTTTGTTCCATCATTCAGTTTTTGCCTTCTGACTCCTCAGTCCCATGGGATGGGTAGGGACTTGTCATCAGAGTGAAGAGAAGAGTAGAAAAGTACTGCATCTTGACTTACCGAACAGGAGTTCCACAAAGGTGAGGTAAAGAGAGGAAATTGCAGCAGCTCTTATGCTCTTGGAGTGCCACTTTTCACTGTGTTCCTGGACAGCAGTGTTTTGGGTTTTCTTTCTGATAGCCAGGAGCAGCACTGTATTCATTGAGTGTTGCAGTGAGTACTGATACCGGAGAGACCAGTACTGAAGGAGAGATGGCTAGAAAAGAGGTGAAAAAATTAGAGGTAACAGGAAACAACCTAATTGTGTTAAAATTGAATGTTTGCGGCTTGTTAGTTCTATAGCAACATTGGTGATCAATAATTATTTTTCATTTAAAATACAATGACATTTAGCTGCCTTTGAAGAAACTTGTGCCTGTGTAGCAATGCGCTTTGTTTATTTATGTTTTAATAAATAGATCTTTTATTGAGTGACTTGTGGCTCCAGTCTATGCTTGATGAAATTTGTGACATACTCTTTTTATGGGCACATGATACAAATCCTATGTTTTATGTACCACAGATGTCGAATGTCTGTGCAGGTAGAAATTTTTGGTGTGTGCAATCTATGAAAGGGAAAAAAGTACATTTCTTGTTCTAAGAGATGGGAAGAGGGGGAGTTCTGAGAATTAAGTCCTACCCCATAGCTGAAGTGTATGAGAGAAATTCCTACCAATAAGGATCTTGAGGTGATTTGGGATTAAAGAATTAGATTAATAACTGTCATCATTTCATGCACACTTTACTGTGATTTCAATATTTTGTTCATTTCTTTAAATCCTTTTCATTATTGCTACTCAGAATTCTTTTCTTCTTCAGTTTATGCTTCTTGCATTGGTGAAGTCACAGTACACTGGGTGTGATCACCATGCAAACAGTAGAAATAAAGTACAGGAATAGGATGCCATTGACAAAACAAGGCATACAAAATAATCCTACCTTTTACCTTTTGCAAAAAGAAAGCGTGAATTTGATTTTAAAAAAAATGGAGCATTTCTGAAGAATCCTGGAAAGAATAAATTTCTATAAAAGGGAAAATGTTTGGGGTTTTTTGTGCGCTCTTCTTGTGTTAGGGTAAGTAATTTAATGAAGAGATTGGTGAAACTATATAACGCCATTTAAGAAATATATGTGTCATACTGTACAATGTGTTCTTTGTGTTTTACAGAAAATTCTTTGCCAAAACCAAAATTACCCGAGGACAGTGTTATTTCACCGTACAATATAAACCCAAGCTACCCAGGGCTTGCAACAGGAAATGGACTATCAGACTCACCAGCAGGGTCGAAGGATCATGGGAATGTACCTATTATTGTCCCATTAATTCCACCACCTTTCATAAAGCCACCAGCAGGTAAATCCTAATGAACATTTTTTAAAAATGGTTGCTGTCACGGACAATGTCCTGAGACTGCTAGATCATGATGTCTTAGCAAGAGGGCTGATTTCAAAATGATTGAAATCCGGTCACAGGGAACTTTAAAATGGAGTGGAAGACTGGCTTTAGTTGCTTTAGTATTCTTGAAAAACTTCTGCAAATGCAGTGACAACAAACTTGCACTGCTTGTGACACTCCTCATGCTGGATTATACTCTCAACACTTCAGTAGAATCTACTTTTAGAAAAAAAAATAATTTTGTTCTGGTGAATGAAGCCTTTAAATAAATTAATGGAAGATTATTAAATTGAAAATAGGCTTCATGAAGGAAACAGTGAGAGAGACAAAGCCATCAAATCAGTATCATGTCTGTATATCAGGTTAACAAGCTCATACTGGGAAAACTGTCTCTTGATTTCCATTGAAATCCCTGACCATTTTCTCTTGAGGGTTTAATAAGATCTTCACTCTACCCAGGAGACTGTGCTGAGATGTGTCACCTTTTCATTAGATTTTTATCAGGAGTGATTTTATAATATGCCATTCCTCAGAGTTTGCATGAAAGATTATTTATTCCACTCCACATGCTGCTTACTGTAATCTGTGAAAGGAACTCTTGCTGCTACACCAAGGTGATTAATTGTTGTGTTATTGTTTACTGCTCTACACAGTGTGATAATTGGTGAATCTAGATAGGAATAGGCTCAGTCCTGCTTCCATGGACGTCCCTGGATGTTGTTCTGGTTGCTCTTGAGTGATCAGGGTGACATGCAACACCTACCCTAGAACAGTAGCTCTCTATGCACACAGGGGGGAGGCACCTTGGCTAAAGAGTCCCCACCAGGTGCAAGGGTGCCTCTGCACAGGCAGAACAGCCTGTAGGATTAGGTCCCAGCTGTTAGATGGTCACCTCTGCCCTTTGTAGCTTTTTCAAAAGGTAACTGTAAAATACTGATCAGTCCCAGAACGTGTTTGCCTGTTGTCAGTCGTGTACAGTTGCCCCTCCTAAATTATTGTTATGCCCTTGAGTTTTTTCTCTATAGAAGTATACCAATATACTATGAATAATTTTAAAATGTTACTCAATACTCATTCCCTGCCAAAAACTTTCAATCTATTTTATATAGTATTTGCTAATTACCAAAGCTATTTGGGCCCATTCCTGCAGCCTTTACACAGCTAAAGATCTCGGGCCATATGGGCTGGATCCTCAGCCGTTGTTGATTTGGCCCTAAAGCTTTAATCAAGGGCTTGTGCCATCCCAAGCTATTTTCCCCTCCAATGTGAGTCACAAATGAATCCAGAATGCTGAATTTGTGGTATGTGAACACAAGGCTATAGCATACATTGTGCAAATTGCCACAGTTGCTGGATTTTTATGACATCAAATAAGCAGGAGGAGATGGAACTATGAAGTAGAGAAACAAATTACTGCAACAGTAGTTAAATGGACACAGGCTAATCTTGGCCAAGTCAACTGCCTTCTGTTCTTTGTCCATCCACCTATGGCATATGATCCTGTGTTTGAATGTACCACTAAGGGTAATGTGCGGAAAAGGCTTTTCATAAGTATTTTCAACTTTACTTTTTAAAATCCATTAATTAATAACGATCGTTGTTTTACCTACATAGGGGATATAAATGCATAATCTCCACCTCCTCTGACTTTATCCCATGATCAGTAATGAGCACTAGATTACCATGACTTCTGAGCAGATGAACATATTTATCTCACCTTTGTTTTAGAGAGCAAAGCTTGGGAGGACTGGAGGGGGAGGAGAACCACAACCTTTGTGGGATTTGCAATAAGCATGGCCAGTAATTTTTTGTTTTATCTTAGGGCGTAGGTGCCCTACTCATGATCACCCCAAAGAACCTGGCAAGAAATGACTGGTGAATACAAGTAGAAAAGGGAGTACAAAGGAGAGCCAATGTGCAAGGCAGTGGTCTTGGCACTGCACTTTGACACTGTTCTGTGGGCACTACATCAAAGCAGAAAACTTCAGAGTGGTACAAAGCCAGACAAGAGTAACTCTGGGAATGTTTTCTTGGAGTCCCTCGCAAACACAGGGGATAACTTTGGAAACAGCACAAAGGTGCTTCTTTGAGTTGAGCATGCAAATGATTAGACTCACATCATTAATTTTCAACATGGGGAACAGACAGACTATGTGACAAGAACAGAAGCGGCTTACATTTGTTTGAGTTAATAAATGAAGTAAGATGACAGGAGGGAGAGGCAGAAAGAGGCCAAGAGAAAGCTTCGAGGTTGAAACACTGGGCAGGAAAAGGGACATTTAGAGTGTGTTTTGAGTAGACACACATAGGACAAGGTTACGTTATGGGCCAGAGAGAAAAACAGGTAGTAATGCACTGTAGTGACTGATATGCTAAGAATTGGGATGCGTCCAGACTTTGTGAATGGATGAGGAAAGCTTTTAGATATTGTACAGGAGAAAAATCTACAAGACTTAAATATAGCTCGAAACAGAGTGCCCATAGGTAAAAATGATACCTAAATCATGAACCTGAAAGACAGGAAAGATGGTTCAGTCCAACCTTATTGAGCAAATAATATGGAGTGAGCACTCAGGGAGAAATTATTAAGACTTTAATTCTTGCTGTATTGATCTTGAACAGAAGGGTCAGCATGAGTAAAAAGGTGTCAGACAGGCTGAGGTATTCATTTGGACAGGAGTGTAATGGTCTGAAGAGGATAAGCAGATCCAAGAAACAGTCACAATGAATTATTAGTTGAATAATTTTTGCTGATAAGATTCTATTCAGATAAGAGGGAGAAGAGAAAGAGCAGAGCATGGGTGATGCTCACAGAAGCCTGAAGGGAGAAATGGGAAGGATACTTGGCAATGTGCACTGATGTAGCAATTGCAGATGAAGACACTGGGGAAGACAGTCAGGAAGCCAAGGGAAACAGGATTTCCAGGGAAGCAAATATGACTCTTGGTATCAGAAACAGCTACCAGCTTGAGCAAGAGGGGGAAGTAGTGCTGATCCTGAACTGTGTCTAGGAAGCTCTCATTGAAGATTTCAGCAGATAGGTTTTCCTTGAGTGTGCTGAAAAACTCAGAACTGTGTCCTGTCTGCATTCATATTTTGTACAACCAGGCTAAAACCTTGAACATTTAACAAAATTACCTTTTTTCCTTATGCCTTTGCAGTAAGGTGTTTTGAAAACCAAATAATTTTGACCGATCTGACTAAAATTTATCTCCAAGCTGTTCAGATTTCTGTTTTAGTCAAATGAAATGTTAGGTACAAATTGGCTTGTATGATCCTGGAAAACATTAGGGGTCTACCTAACCAAAAAGGTAGATCCAATAAAGGCACTCTCTCTTTACTGTACCTCAAAATTACACCCAAAAAAGGCTGAGTTAAATGCATGGGCCCTGTGTGGTGCACTGATTGTGTACAGACTCGTTATGGCACGTCAGTGGAGGATGCTAAATCCAGTCATGGGAAGCCTCTACCGGAGGGATGCAAATTATTCTGATGTGGAGGCTGTTTGCAAGACCATTGCACTGATTTGTACCACCAGGCAGGTAGGCCACACTCAGGCAGTCTCAAAACAAATGTGACTTTATAAGTCAATGTCAGCCATCCAACCTGCATCTGGAAGCAAAAAAGAAGTCAGTGCAGCCTCCAGAGAGCTGATGTAAGAGTCTCCTTGTGGCAAATAACCGTCCGTCTTGCCCAGCAGGCTGGTAACTACGTTTAGAATTGGCAACAGATTCTGAGTGATCTTCAGGGTTAGTCTTGAGTACAGCTTGTTGCAACAAATTGATCCTAAGTTTATTTCTATTTAGTGTTAGAAGATTCTTATTTTCTCCACAGCAACGTAAAGAAGGTGTGTGGGGTTTTTTGTTGGTTGTTTTTTTTTGCAATTTAAAAATTATATAGAAATAGCAAGGAACAGAAGTACAATAGCCAGGAATGATCTAGAACTAAAAATTCTACCACAATTGTGCAGAGTAGTTGGCCTTAGTATATTTCGTGCAAACCTTTTTTATTCTGCAACCCTTAATGACAGAGTAAATCTAAGAGGGCACTTAGGGTGACTCTGCCCTTTTGCTCAGGCAAGTTTGGACAACTCTTGTTACATGGGATGAAGGAAGGCAAAAATCAAGACTAGTTAAAGAAGAATGCAAAAAATTCTTTCAATGCAGGTGAGAACACGCTGCCTCCTCCCCCTGGCACCTGCTGGAGGCTATGGTGTCTCAGTTTTCCCATTTCTTTGAGTGTTCTTCGGCTCTTTGATTTACTTTATCTTGGGATCCCAATGGCAGTACCTTGGTAGGGGAGGTACAAGTGCTGCTTGGTCTATCCTTTGAGCATGAATGTTGGCAAAATCCTTCCCTTTCCTTCCTCCTTCTGTGTACAAGCGATGCACAGAGTGCTTCTGCTCCTCTGAGCATCCCAAACAAGAACCAGCTCCCTGCCGTGCTGAGCTGCAAGGGAAGGTCACTGCCAAGGGACACAGTGGAAGGGGAGGCAGAGAGGATGATGTTATGCAGTTGATTGAGCTTTTCACAGTGGAAAGAAGTACAAGGGGAAAATAATGCTCCCTCCCAGGGTTTTCACAAGATACTGAGTACATTTGGAAAAGGAAAGGGTATTTTAAACCTACAACCCACAGATCAGTGTCTCTACACAATGTTAGGTTCAGTGATTTCCAAACTATAATGATTGGAATTGTACCAGAAGCTATCAGAAACTCATGAAAGTAAAGAAGAACTGGGCTACAAGAACTGAATCTGGTGATGCAAAATGTCTTAAAGGAGGAACAGAAGCATTTGCAGTTCTGACTACCTTGTAAAATAGACCCATGACCTAAGCTGACGAGGAAGTGTCAGATTCAAATACTAAAGTGAGTAATTAGTTATTTTATAGAAAGGAATGAGTGATTTTCTGTGTTATGTCTTAATATTACTTTAGAATTAAAGTTTATGGGAGATTTT